GGGGAGGGGAGAGGGGAGCGAGGCTCTGTTTGCTTTCTCCCCGCCAGCTCTGTCCCAGCAACTCTCGGATCCTCAAAGAGCCCCACCCGGCGGGACGAGCCTCGTCTGGCTCCCGGCTGCGCCCCAGACGCCTCCCTAGGATCCTCTTTCCTGGCCCCTGTCCAGAGCCGCTCCTGGTCCCTGGAGGGGTTTTGCGGAGCTCAGGGTGGGCGAATCTCCGTGTGTGACCCGCGGGAAAACGGCCGCAGAGAGGGCGCGCTTGCCCCAAACCTCAGGGCAGGAGGTGGAACGGGAGCCAGATGCCCGGGCGCCCGGCGTGGACAAGTGTCCCCTGACTCCGTGCCACCCTGCCCCCTGCTCTGCGGGCCAGGCTTCACCGCCCCTCTTCACTCCGGGAGGGGACCCGGCGGCTACCCAGACGGGTGTCTCTGCCACTTGGGGACTTTTGCCTGGGGGTGCCCTGAGATGACGCCCCAAACTTCTCAGACGCCTCTCCTCCCCCCACTCCCATCCTAAATCTAGGACATGTGGATGGCATCTCAGGGGCAGAGGTGGCTATGGGGGACCCCCACCCCACCCCAGGGGACGTCCCACAGCCACCAATCTCGGGCAGTGCCCCAGCTTTCGGCCCAGGGCCTGAGGGCAGAGCTCGGTGCGAAGGGTGGGGAGAGGCCCGGAGCTCACAGCAGCCCGGGTGTCTTAGACGCGGCGGAGAGCTGGTGCTCAGGGCAGCGGGCCACTCTCTGCACTCAGGCCTCCTGCCCGTCACTGGCGCGCAGGGCCCGGCCCCTGGTCCAGCTTCTGCCGCGGAAGCAGGCCAGGGCCAGGCGGTGAGCACAGGGCAGGGACCCTCGCCTCCTGGAAATCTCTCTCAAGAGAGTCTGAACGCATCATCCCCTCTCTTGTTCCCCGCCCCTCCCCTTTGTCCCGCCTCGGACACCCCGTGGTCTTCTGCTTCCGGTCACTCCGGGTGAGGGGTCGCGGCTTCCGCTCCTCTCTGCTGACCGAGAGGTGCCCGGGTGCCCGGGGCGGAGGCTGGGTCTCGGGTTAAGCCTCTGCAGGCGGCGGAGGCATCACTTTCTAGCAGCTCCAGGGACCCTGAGCCTCCCGGAAGATGGCGGAGGGGAGCAGGACCGGGTCGGGGAGCTGGGGGGATGGGTGAGGGAAGAGGTAAGTTTGTGTATCTGCCCCGGTGAGGGCCTCTGGCACGCGCACAGGCGGCTTGGCATTGCCTCCCAGGCAGAGAGAGGCTGGATCTGCTGGGGCGCCAGGGAGGGGGGCTGCAGGAAGGTATGCGGACTGGGGCGCTGTCCTGGGTCTCAGCTGCTGCGCTGTGCGCGCAGGCTCCTTCCCGCGCTGTCTGGGAGGGAGGTGTAGCGACGGGTCAGGCTCAGGGACCCCATGGAGATCCCGCTGTTTTCCTTTAGGTCAGAGCTTGCTCCAAATTGTCTTCCATTTATAAGAATGAGAACCTGAGACCCATTTTACAGATGGAAAAATTAAGGCCCAGGAAGGAGAAGTGAGTCAACCAAGGTCACAGAGGAATTTCTAGCAGAGCCACAGAACGCAGGTCCTAAGACTTCTAGTCCTAGATTCTCCCTTGCACCTGCTGCCTCTCCTTGCCTGGGGGAAAATATCCTTTCAAGGCAAAATCAGACATCCCAACATGTAGGAAGTAGGAGAATTCGTGGGTCTGTGAGTTACGACAGGGTCAGAATACAAAAGGGGTAGTGGCCCCATCTCCCAGTGCCAAGGGGAGCCAGTGTCCCCTCCTGTTCCATCTCTTTACTCTCCTGACCCATACCCCAGCCTTGCTTGATTTCCGTCCTGCAAACCAGGAACAGAGAGAGGAAACCCAACGGACGGCTTTCCTAGCTCTCTGGGACCCAGCCCCACTCCATGGAGGGAACCCCGGCCATAAGGGATCAAAGCACCTCTCCGTGTCCCTGGAGGCCTGGGGAGCAGCCCACAACCGGGACTTCATGTAGTGGTGGCTCTCAGATGGAAGCAAAGGTGGGACTCGCTTCGGCTCCCTCTTGCCTCCAGCGGTCACTGGGTGCTGGAGACAGCCTCCAGGCGAGCTTCCGGCACCAGGAGAGATTCTGGGGATTCTTGGGAACCTTCTTGTGGGGAGGAATTTTAGGGCCGGCCTGGAATTCTTATCTAGCCTCCCCAGAGCCCCTTCCACTCAAGGTTCTCCAAGGCTCCAAGGCTCCCAGGCCGCCGCCGCCACTTCCCAGCTTTGCGCAAAAAAACAAGGCGAGGAGCGCGCAGCGGCCCAGGGCAGCTGTCATCTTGCAGCGGGAGAGAACTCTCCGCTCCCCTTCTTCTGGCCAGGAGGGCGAGGCTGGAGGTTGAGGAGTCCTAGGGGATTAGACATTGAGGATTTACGCCCTCCCTTTATGCCACAGAGGAAGCACAGACCCCTCTCCAAAGTTAATTCCTGTGCTTTTGCCGGCTGGGGCGCAGTCTGTGACAACTCAGTGCGCGCTGGCGGTATTTGTGCGCCAGCTCTTCCAACGGGGGAGCAGAGCCTGTTCCTGAAGACCCCGGCCAGCTACCACCTCTGGTGCCTCCAGGACCCCCGTGCCCGCCGACTCTTTGAGGTCCGGGCTTGCCTGAGGCTGAGGGGGCCCAGGAGAGAGGCGACAGCCTGACGCCTAGAGACAGTCGGCAGCTTGGAAAAGAAGGAAGGCAGTGGTCCACCCTTTCGCCTTCCTATCTGCAGGGGGAATCTTAGCAGTGCCTGGGGGCTCCTCGAGAAAGGAGTGGGAGGGAGGGGGGCCACAGGAGGCTGAATAGCTAATGGCTTGACCGAGGAGGGGGCTTCTTTCTCTCGCCTTCGCTCGGCACTGAAAGAGCAGAAGACAAAAATCTGGTGAGCGAGCTGCCCGGGCCGAGACTGGCCACTTCAAACAGCCCTTCAAACAAAAGGGGACGACGAAAAGAAAGCCCCACCTGTCTCCAGTGTTTGCTAAAATAATAATAAATAGATTTCGTTTAATAAATAATTACAAGAGATTGTAAAGTGGAGTGCTTTGGAAAACATCTACCATGGGAGTCCCGCAGCCAGCCATCACCTGCTCCCAAGGCGGGCAACTTTATTGTTAAGCCACCCCCCAACTAGTTCGCCTCTGATAAACTCTCCCTGGTTTTCACAATGACTGTTTACTCATAGTTAGCACAATATTACCTTGGCCGTGATAAACCCAGAGGGGGGAGACCTGGCCCCTGGCCCCTGGGCACACCTGTCCCAGAAGCTGACACATGCATTTGGCACCGAGCGGGCCTCCCCCCGGGGGCCGTGTACATTGGCCCAATTGCCACCCATTTATAACAGGTTGGCTGCAAGGCCTATCTCGGTCCTATTTGTCTTCTTTTATTGAAAACATATGGTCTCCAGGGGCTCACCAGCCCCATATTTCATCTGCCGGGAGCTGGGGCGCTTCCGCAGGCTGGTGCTGCTGGCCGCTGCTCCCCACCCAACGGCTGCTGCCTGCTGCGCCAGCTGAGGGGAAGGCGCTGGTGGGGTGGGGAGAGATAAGGCGGGCTCCTCATTCACTTTGGGAAAGAGCCTTTCCCTCAGAGACTCCCCCTCCCCGGGCTCAGGGACCTTGTGCGCTCTTGAGTGGGTGGCTGGTTCTCTTTCTTGGGTAGGTGAGAGGGCGCCATATGCCACCCCCAAGGGCGCACAAGGAAGCTCTGGCCCAGGGAGTTCTCCAACAAAGGGAGGAGAGGGCCCAGGACCCCAGGAGCGCCTGAGGTCTTTATTTCCAGACCCTCCTCCCTGCCCAGGGCCGCCTCCCCCTCTGCTTCTGAAGCTGGCGCATTGCGCCTGGAAACAAAGTGTCCACATTGTCCCCGCCGCTGATGCAGACAGTGAATGCGTGAAAAGGTGCATTACGCACTAAGACACCTGTTGAAGCGGCGCCTCTTCTCAGCGCCTCTTTCTGCTCTGCCCTCTGTCAGGAGGGAGTGGGGGAGGAGGGAGAGATACAGTGATTTGTGGCGACATATGTTGAGCAGATCGGTGTGTACTCTTCACAGGGACACAGGCACCCTTGCTCCCATACACGCCCGCGAGAAGGAGCAGCTGCTCTCCTCACCTTCTCCCGACATAATACCTGGGCCAGGCACTTTGGCATCGCCTTTTGAGACCCCAGCTCTCTCCCACCCCCTCGGCTTTCCGCCCCCACCCGCTGCCCCAATCTTGGCAGCTTTGCTGTAGGACTTTATTGTCGAACTTAACAGATGCACGTTTGTTCCCAG